AACGACACAGTGAGGATTGCAGTGTCAAATGCACGTGCGTCTTTTGTAATGGAACGTACATGCACATGATGTGTGTGACTTTGTCGGCCGCGCCTACGAAGAGTATATGCAGTGCACAGTTGGGGACAGAGTGAAGTCACGTGGTATATGTCCATACCACCTGGACGGGACAATGGTGAATGCGACACAAACGATGGAGGTCGATGGAATGGAAGAGTGGAACAGCATGAGGCAAGGAGCACCGAAGCGACAAAGATGACTGCACCAGTGAGGAGGATGCCGGCTACAGTAGCTACCGTCAACACGTCTCACAAGTGACGTTAAGGCGATCCATGGACGCTCTGAGAGGAAGGATTACCTCAGTCTCCATCAACAAAGCCATCTGGACGATTCAATTAAAAATGTGATCGGATTAACCCCACGGTCCGTGTCCCGCACAATCGAGACACAAACTATTCATTTATTTTCTTTTACTTACGACTACCTTTGTACATTCCAACTGTAATGTTAAATACTACTTTTTCCGTCGCGGAAGCAGTAGTGCAGAACCAGAGAACAAGTCTCATTGTTCAGAGCTATCAATTCTTGTACTTTTGGAATACAGCCTAGCCATACATCGCCACGATCAGAACACTCTGATGTCAGTGCATATGGATGCTGAGAACCATCAATTCGACATAGAGCATGTCAGTATCCTCGGAAGGGCTAAAAGCCGGCAAGCACGTGAGTTTATTGAAGCCTGGCATTCAAAGCAGAACTCGATCAATAAGCACTTGGACATTGAAATCGCTTACGAGGCACTGCGAACCAGGCCACTGAAGCCGCACTGATGATGTTGCCTAGTCAGGCAACGAAACGTCTGCACAATAATCACTCAGCTCGGAGAACCGCTCAAAATCCACATCCACACCCCGAGCTACGGATATTCTCATTTATTTCAAATCTGAAATTAATTTCAGAACTGTCTAGCATATGGATACTTCGAGCAGTCATCCCTTTTTGACACTTCCTCTGTACAAGTTGGTTGATCGGTCTTCCATGAGCAAATATTTTATATTCTTCTTCACTTCACTGTTGACCACGACTGGATCGATCTCCTGAGGTGAAGAATTGAATCTTCCAACGCTAATAATTATACCCATGCAAGGCGCATTGCCAGTGTTTTCCTGCCGATAAAAATGTGCCTTACTCAAAAATGCAGCTGATGGTACGAGTTAGGTGGCTTAACTGTCCACACTATATGAACAGAAAAATGGCCCTAAAGATGAGTTACATAAGTGATGGCTTACCTGCTTTAAAAACCACACCGGCACACGGCCAGATGGGGCATGGAAGTGCGAGTGAAATGCATCGAGAGAATAGCTTGCGTGGAAGCAGGTCTCCAGTCGACGGTCCCAGTAATGGCCCTATTACTCCACTTATACGTTTTATTTATCTACACGTATTATCTTTTAAAACCTCACAATCTTCCAGAAAGATTTAACCGATCAATTAGCCATGTCCACTAAAAAGCTTGAGGACCGCTTTGGAAAATGCAAAAAATATCACATCAACTCCTTGCGATTTTTCCTTACACCAAGAATCGTAATATTTAGTTGGACTGTAACCTAACATCGACGAGAGATATATCATTGTTTTTATTCAATACAACTTCATATTGCCAAGGCAAAAGCATGGTACACCTGTACATATTTGATTTGCGTCAAATAAGGACGCGGCTTCTCACTTAAAGAGAAATATACCCATTATTATTATTATCTGAACAAACGATACCCCCTACTGTCAGGCACCGATCCAATTGAGTGCAAATTTGAAACAAGCACACTTCTCTTGGCTTAGACATATTCATCCTTAGCTGACGGGATTTTCATTCACATTTAGCACCGGTGCGATGGAGGTTAAGAAACGGCATATATGGAACGATATCGCAAAGGGTGTTTCCTTGGTATATACAGCATAAAGGAACAGGTCAGACAATAATAAAGGCTTGACTGAGGGTCGCGGCGTGGGCGAACGGTGTCCAGGAAACTGACGATGTGAAGCATGAGTACAGGCGCACTGCGGATGAGTGCACTAATGTGAAATTGCGAACAGTCATCTTACCTCGAACTCGGTGTCAAATAGAACGTTTTCAATGGAGATTCGTCACAGCTACACTCAGTCAGCCAGCTACTGTACACTCGGAACAAATCTGGACGGCGGTTTCATCCATTCCGGAAGCGTCCGCAGCGTCCACTTGGACTACATCGTGCGGAGCCAAAAACCAGGACTCTACGTTTATGATCCAATGGTTAGGACCCATGAGCCTCAAGGGACGAACTGCAGCCGCCACAACTAACTGGGTGTGATGTAGAGCGTATTAGCCATTCACTGCTGACATGCGCATTTGAAAAGTGCAGTGGAAGTGGTTGGCGCCTTCTGAGCCGCCATCGGAAAGTACTGATTTTAAGTGAGCGATTGACTATGACGAGTCCCCATTGAAAAACTAATTCGAATCTACCTCTCACAACTATAATAATAAAACATGCAAACAGTGAGACATGATCGGATTTCCTACTTGTTTGAACGAATCCAATAGAGATAACAGAATTGCGACTCGAACTCGAGACGTCCTTGCGCCACTGAGGCGCAGGCAAAGGCGGTTAACCACTACGTGAAGATCGTTTTGAAGCATTTGTAGTGTGTGAATGGACGACTGTGACGCGCAATCTCAAGGTGGATCGCGCGTCGCACTAAAGTGAGCCCCTAACACTTCGATCACTAGGATCGTATCTGAAGCAGACAAATGTTGGAGGGCGCTGCCCGCCCGAAAACACTGCACTTCATGACAGGTTACATAGTTCTTAGGACTCGTCAACGGGAGAACAGTGTGGAGATAACCGGAAGCGTTTGTGCATGTACGCAGGCAACACTTGTCATGATGTCCATTTTGGTTCGTTCAGCGCCGATTCATTTGAGCCTCCCACCCACTGTGTGGATGGATTGCCACAGGCGATCTCAACGAAAATCGTCCACACAGAAAAAGGTTCAGAGAGAATGACTTGAACAGTTCCAGCAAAGAATATTCGATGATCGACCCGTAGCCTTAAGGATCACAAGCCTGACTTGTGATCTAAGAGCGCGGATCCGAGCCTGCGTAGAGGAGCGGGCGACCCTCATAGTATCCTTAGCCCACGTGCGACCGGTGGTGGTTGCGCAGCAGTGAAGCATCGGTACTGCGTACCGGCGTACTGCTGTCACCTTTTTATTGTCAGGAATGTATTTGGGTATATGGGCCATCACTTCGTTACTCAGTGCTGACAAAATATTTCGCATCACATTGCTATCATATTCAGCATGATTTTGCTTCTGGGAGTATTGACTTCTGCTTTTTGAGGATGAGTCATGACAATGCAGTCGGCCATTGTGAGGTGATGCTGTTCCGTGCCTTCATAAATGAGCAACGCCTCACACATCAATCATGCGTGCATCTCCAAGTAACTAATCCACCTGTAATGCAGAAAGCGAGATATTCAAACCCGAAGTGTGTGAAAACGCGTCGAGGCTTCGGCAAACTGCAGTAGGCGTGTAATGCTCCGTCTGTATAGTATTTTAAATGAATTCCTCCGGATTTGTGATGCAGGGCAGTGCATACGTGCCAGGCGACTGAACTGGGTGGCAATCTGGGTGTTATTGTAACCATGTGTAGCAGTTGAAGGAAAAGGTCAAAACTGGCGTCCTGATAGTGCCACAAATAGTATCGTCAGTTGTGACGAATTTGTCAAAACGAGGAAATGTGGCCAATTTTCCGTGTGGACATTGCCCGAGTGGACATTCTTTGTATGCGCATTTATGTCTCGGGGTTTTTGCTGTTTGCGATTTGTGTGTTGGCTTTCTTCCGATCAACAATGTACATAGTCATGAAGAGGTTGTGGAGCCTACCCGAATGTACATCAACTGCGATAAACGGATCAACGCCAGCCGGAGGAGTCAGTAACATATATAGTTTGGCTCGCGGATAACAAGAAAAGTCTTATGCAACCGAACTTAGCGCTGAATTAAACGGAACGCTTTCCAATCGACTCCGGAAAAGCAGATCAAAGGTAAGGAAAAAAAGAAACGAATGCAAATCTCCGAGGGGTTATGGAAAAAGTTAATCAGTGTAATACAGTGGCAGGATAAAATCCCAGAAGTCATTGATGAACACCTTAAATTCGGCAGAATACTCGGATATCGGACCAGGGGAGAAAATTGGAGAAGGAGCAAGAGACAATAATGTGACCTTTAGTTAGTCTTTTTAGCACGAATGTTACCCTTCGACTAGGTCGACGGGTAAGCAGGTGCAAACGTTCAATGTTGCAGAGTGTCAGCATCAGCTCGGAGTATTGCCCTATCACCCTGAAAGTGTAGATGCCATTATTTAGTCCATATGCAAGGCGGCACAGAATGTAGCTGCAACTGACTAAACTTCACTAATGTACGGGGTTCAATGTTTCTACCCAGGAGAGAGTAGTATTCAACAAGTAAGGCATTGAGACATGTTTAAGCATCGAGATCAAGCCATGTTAAATTCACTGTATCATTACTAGTGTTTAGAAAGCTCAGGGGAACATTTACGAAACAGATTGGACGACAAAACTAATGGCATGAGTGGTCGGGTAGGGGAGGCAGAAAGGTACGATCGGGAGACAAACGGACAATCATGATCTGCACCGGCATCGATACTAAAATATTGCATAATCGGCTTTTCAGCTGTGTGGTCGTACTGTTCACATTTAGAAAATCGTGTCCCGTTACAGTCATGTCTAGGAGAAGTCGGTCGGTCGGTCGTTCTTGTAAGGACATCGCAAGAATATACCTGTCGTATGGACATAGGCTACAGTATGCATTTAATCAGTTATGGATGAAGGTGTGACGCTTAGTACAAGTGAGCGCATTGGCACAAAGTAAATCTACAGCAGGGAAGAAGTGAAGATGGATAGAATGGAGCAACAGCAGCAGGAGCACATATAGATATATACCTCCTGTTCGGAAATTTCCAAAGACTTCACATTGTTGCCGACGATGCGGAGCTCCTCCTCCAATTCGGTGATTTTGCTTCCAGTTGCAACGAAAGTGAAAGGTCAGTGGGAGGCGGGTGTGAAACGGTACAACGCATGAGGCAACAAATCCTCTCTAAGCACCTATGCATAGTAGTCAAACGGCACGGACCACTGTCAAGCCTGAATGAACAAAATGGGAATACGACTGGTCCAAGCATGCAATCGTGCGGCTGTGGGGGATGCACTTCAGACAAAACAATGAGCAATCGATGGAATCAATCAAAATGCGACACCAACCTGAAGTTCTTGGTTCTCCAACGAACGTAGCTGACCAGACGTTTCATGGATGACCGATTGCAACTCATGCAGTCGACTTGCATGCGGAGTAAGTGTGAGGGTGGAAGCACGCACACACACATGCAAGGGCCAATTGGATGCGGGGAACACAGACGGAAAGGAGAGAAAGGAATCAGATCCCAATAAAAACTGAAGGCCAAAAAGTGTACATCACAGGCGTAAACTTGCGAAACTGCATGGGCGATTGAGAGTGTGAAAGCTGACACGTGTACAGAGGGGCCGGATGAAACTACACCCACGCACATTTACACGCACATCGACTGGCTCATGCAGATTCCCAGTTGTGTGAGCGAATTGCCAATCGGAAATCTAAGTCGGTTAAATGGCGAGTAATCAGCATGGGAGGTCACGTGACACAATTCGCCAGCATTCGACTAGCTAGACGTATTGCAGAGCATACTAATGCCATATGGTCGAACCAATAAAAGTAGAACCGGGTTAAGTAAGCAAGTGCGTCGATCTACCACATAGCGCCCAAATCGGGTGACATGCGAATCCTTTCCCCTAGATTTAACATCAAGCAGCAAAGAGGCATGGCATTAACGACCCCACAGCACTGAAGAGAATCCCCAACCCAAATAGTTTTGCACGATCTAAACACTTCACAATACGCCGAACCGACGCTTCAAAGCCAAGCTACCACCATCAGTCGCGCGGGGGCGAAGGATATTGCGAGGGTTGCCTGGTTCCGTACGCAGGCTCGGACTGATGAAGTTCGGGTTGCAATGTAGACGCTTTGTTCATTCGACCACCGACCGGCTGAAAACGAGAAGCTGAACTGTGCATTGACTACTAGCGCGAATGACTGACTTCTGAAGAATTCGTCGACATTGATACGTTGAGATGCAAACTCGACATTCATTCCAGGCGTGCTTCAAGACAGTGGAGTCCCGCCTAATGGTGTAGAAATTGTTTCTGAAGGGAGAGTGAGCGAGTCTTTTGACCAATCGGTGCATCGAGATAAAATCGACATGTCATGTCCCAGATCACGCACTTGAGTCTCAAACCGGCTACAGTTGAGGGGCACAATGTGTGTGGGGTACTTTTTGGGCTCAAAAGCAATGATGGTCTAACCCAGATGCGGATGTCACTGCGACAGCGCCGTTCGAGTGATCAAGTGAGATCGTACCCCGATGAATGGGGTAAGAAGCGAACTCATCAGATGTGGTAATTGAAAATTCGGAGTAGGAGGAGGAACGCAAGAGCGCCATTGTCTGCTTGAGCAAACCATACCTCAAGGGGTATCAGCAACGGAAGCGGTAGACACCGAGGACCTATCCAGAGTAACAAGAAGCACAAATCTTATTAAATCATTTGATTAGCTTCTTCGTGCCATCTTCGTTTATCATCGATTGTCTATCACGTGGTTTCATGCAAGTAAACGCGATAGTGGGAAACAAGACAGTCCGCTTGCGGATATATGGAGCAATCGACCAAACCGTTGAATGCGGATCGAGTTCAAAACAGAGGGCTTCTTGACAAAGACGAGATGAAGGACGTTAATATCGGTTATTAATTGCCCCAATCAGACATGGACAATGCCTCGCAAACATTGATAGCAAAACTTGGCATATTCGATAACGGCCTCGGAACGCAGTGTTAGTGCTCCTCTTGATCCAAGTAGTAACAACGACCGCGCTGCAGTACTTATATCATTCCATCTCAATACATGGCTGAAGCTTTGAAAAACCATAAGAGCCCGTTAATAAGTGCACTCGTTTCTGCGGCTATGCGACCACCGGAGGTGACACTGCAACCCGGATAAGCGAACTAGCCGAACAAATCGGGTGATATTCGCCGATTATCGGAATGGAAATGAGTGTAGACTAGAGTTGAAAAACATGACATTTCAGAGCATGCAACAAGCTGTGTCGGCATATTCGGTAGCTCCTGGATATCACTGGATACAATTCAAACGGCTGTGGCTTACCAAACTACGGCTGATAGGCGGTTATCAAACAGAACCTCAACCCAACAGGAAGTGAAAGACAGGATAGTGGCCCATGAATACTACTACCTCAAGGTCGAAGTGAAATAGAGATACAGCAGTCCTGATGCACTCTACTTGTCTTTGTGACCTGAGGAGATAGTCCCAAGGGGACATCGGTATGGCACACAAATTTTTGGCATGCAAAGTACGAAACAAAAGTAAATACCTCTAACACACCTTTCAAAATCGGGTGAAATCCACTGAATCGAAGACAGTCTTCAAGTAAGGAGAAACCACGCGGACAAACCGCCTGTTGTGATTATGCACAATCACCTGGTGTAGAGAGCAAACGCTTGGTCAATGCATCCTGTCGATGTGTGGAAGTCAGTCTATTTCTCTGATTCAATTCGCACGAGGATCAGTGATCAGTTTGGATGTACTTGAGATCCTACTGAAACCACGAAGATTCTCAGACGTTTCGATCCTTTGTAGAGATTGAAATGATGGTTAACAACTGTCAGTCAGACGACGTTCCCTCATCACAGCAAACAGATGAGCCGCTGTAGTCAACAGGCATCCGCAACTGTACGGGAGTTTTTCTCCGTTTCTACAGACATAGTTGGTACGGATCATGAGATCAATATCTGGTGGACTTACGTGACCTAAATAACGATTCTAAAACACCGAGTAGGCGGAATTGTTCTTCAAAGCATTCGGCCAAAATTTCCAACCAGTGACCGATAGGGAGACATAGGTCTATCTTCCTCAGCTACAACCCCGATTTTGGGAACTCTTTTTGGACAATCCGGTGTTCCCTATGGGGATGACGTTCGCACTCGCCAACTACCAACGCTATATGCCCATTCTGATACTTCAATCCAGAAAGTTACGGATAGTATCAAATCGAACGATCAACGAAATCGTCTTGCGTGCATTGTTCAGGTTTAGCGGAACTCCAGGAATCCGTCCGCCATTAAGACACCTTAAGCTTAGCGAAGTGATCTCGAACGTTTTTCGTAGCGCACAATTAACATTCGGTCCGTCCGCTTCAACAGTCAGTGACAGCCGAAACTGCAATTCAGACCGATATCGTCGCTACGCATATTGCATACATAATTGACTAGCAATTACTCTCCAATTTGTAGTTCAGTTCGTCTAGACTGGAAGAGTGAAAATTTGGCAGAAACACACAAGAACATGATCAGAATCTAGACACATGCTCTAGATCGAACGATAAGCTTGTACTGATGTGCGCCGCCTAAAGTGGATGGCAGTACGATCATTTCGAACCCAGGTTAGCACATCATTTGGTGGGTGCCATGTAATTCTGGGTGGACGCGCGTTGGAAAACGATGCCGCTGATCAGCGCATTACTGAAAAACCCCAAAACGGACTACATGCCGAGGTTCCGACTCTGGTAAGTGAGTTGAGTAGTCATTACGCCTGAAGCGGTCACGATACTTGCGCTTTAGGTCATTTGAAGTAGGGAAGGCAACCGCTCACAGAATGCATCCCTGACAAGATGTTGAAACAAAATGCGGCTAACCTTCCAACGCTCTCCACTGACACTGAGCCCTGGGCACAGTTGTCCTGTACGTGTGTCTCGCTGACACAGCACACAACTGCAGCGCAATCTGAAGTTAATATACCTTTTCCCAATTCGTTGCATCGGTCACGCTTGAAACTGCATTGAGTGCGTGATGTGACGCATTGCACGTGTGCACTCGTATGAGCCATACTCATGGACTGTGTTCATGACGTGATCTCACGTCGTCCCACGTGTACAGTTGTCCGTGCGTCATGGACAATGACACAGGTCCGCGGACAATAAGAACCACATCAATGCAGGGAATGTGTGGGTTTAGGCAGTTCTATCAGTGCATACCGGAATAAATGATGCTATTTCTCATCTGAAGACGAATATCATGACGTTGTGTCATGCACAGGCACGAATTCGAATAAAAATGGCAGGCACGCGTGAGGTATACTGATGTATCACCACCACACATCCGAAGGGTAGAGAAGACTCCAAACTGCATACGCATAAGTAACGTGTGTCCGAACATTCACACAAACACACACACAGGGTTAGAGAAGAGAAAGGAGGAGCAGAAGGCAGCTAAGGTCTACAGGGGGATGCAGTACTACCACTACGACTAATACTATAGCAAGCTAATTCACCCAGAAAGGACAGAGCAAAGGGTACCTTTCAGATTGTTCGATTTGCATCTCCGTGTGAGCTAAAGAAGCTTCCGCAACAGCCATTTTCCTTGTAGCCTTTGGCAGGCGTAACACCAGAGCCAATCGATGTGGGCGCATGTACGTTAGTGTGTGTGTGGGGGGGAGGGAGTGAGTTGGGTAGGTGAAAGAGCAGACACCCAAGTGAGAGTAACAGCATCCGCATCGCGGAAGAGACAGCGGGATTGCGACGAAGCCAACGGTGAGCGCGGGGTGGACACAGAAAGGGAGCCAAGCGAAATCGGACAACATCAGTTACACGACACGACAAACAAAAAAGCGAAAAATGTTAAAATGTCTCAACAAATGCGTACATGCACCAGTTTGAACAATACAAAAGGGTCAGAATAAAAGCAGACACATGTTGCTAGAACGACACGAACCGACCATAACAAACGAGAAACACACAGCAGCGCGATGCTACTGGGGAGGCAGGGGCGGGATTAGGGTCAGTAGAGACGCGTAATTCTGGTCGCGCAGCACATGCCGGTGCCCAAAATTATACACAAAACTGTTGACTGCAAGTCAGGATGCGTGCGCTAAGAGACTGCGCGTGACAGACGTGGTTAAGGAGCGAAGATCGAGCGAAACAGTGAGCGAATATGTGAAGCCACAGAAGTGTAAATACCTTTCGGCGGCTTCCAAACGTGATTCAGCCCGTTCGAGTTCCACTTCAGTGATGGTCAGCTTACGAGCAGCCTAGACACACATGCACACATTTAGGTATGTAAGTATGTGTGAAATTGAGAGAACATCATCACAAGATGAGTAACGTGGTAAAGGAGAATAAGCGGAATGCAACATGCATACAAAATGGGGAACACTGCGGTCTAGAATGAGATCGAACAGTACTACAAGGCGGTTACATTCCCGTGAGCCGGATACCGTGCGAAGAGAAGAAAATAGATAGCGGAGTGAACCTTTAACAACCATCAAAAATACTATGTTGCGAAGCGTACAAATTGCTCCATGGCTACATAACCACCCCACGAGAATACGATGAAGCCAAGATATTGTTGAAAGGTGACCGGATTAATTCCGATGAGCTAAATCCCTGAAGCACGAGAATGCTTTATGCAGGCGGGCGTGGGTGAACGTCGAGGTAGTACTGGAAACATATCCTGATGTCCGCGTGCGCAACGCTGTCCTTCCAGGTGGAAGTGATCAAGCAGAGCGGTGGAACCGTGTTGGTCTGTGTGCCAGCGCTAATTAACAAAGTAAACGGATAAAAGAGTTGAGTCCTTTCCTCCTCATGGATGAGGTTAGAACTGAAGCGTTGGTTGCAGAAGTTTGAACGTCAATCAAGATGCCATCTGCAATAGGTTACAAAGAATTGTTAGTTAGTAAGCACTGGGATTCAAGTAAATCCAGAGACAGACATTGTCGGCAACGGGCCATCTCTCGCACGCACTTCGAACATCCACAAATACGTTTCGTCTGGATCGGCTGTTCGATGGGGTACTTCGGGATATTTGAGCTATATATGTTAGTTGACGGGAGATCAACTACAAAGCATGGTGACTTCTTGTAATTCTTTAGGTCCCAGACAGATTTAAGTACCACAGTAATCATGAACAGTACAACGGACAAGAGGAAGGTACTTGCCATTCAATGTAACGTGAAAACAAAGGGTGCTTTGACTGAAAACTAACTAAAACCCATGCAAAGGTAAAATTGTGCATAGATGGGCAGGCAAAGTGTGATTCAATGCTATCCCCATGGCAACCGTAGAAAGAGCAGAAAGATGCGATCATGCTAGTATACTACTGGTTGATGGTATGCAATGTCCAAAGGAGCGTCAAACGCTATGCTGGAGGATCCGGTTCGGCCAGGAAAAGCAGTTCACATGCACAAGGAAACATGCTTAACACAAGGCAATATTTCCCCCCATGAATTCGCGTCACCTCATCGTATTTCCGATCAGCATCTTCGGCCATGAAGGTGTATTCCTTCAACTGTTCCTCCAGTTGATTGATACGCTCCTCATCCGCAATCGTGCGATTTTCCAATACTTTACGACCACTGAGATTTTAAGGAAAAATGTTATCACAAACACTAATGCAATAGAATGTATCAGAAAGGTTGTCAACTAATGCCCACAGACGGAAAGTAACGGGGTAACAAACACTGATATATATTACGCGAAAAACAATACCTCTTCAAACCGAGCCTTCGCGTCACTGGCCTCTTTCGTGGAACGTTGCAAAAGAGTTGTCAACCGGACAATGCGGTCATCTTCCATTGTCTGGCGCGTCTCCAACGTTCGTCGAATGCTATTTATACCCGGCACAGAAGTAGCAATTAAAATGCATGACCAGTCAGTGAAAATATAAAGGGAGAAGGAAGATTTAACACTAAATATATGTAATAATCACTCAGATTAGACGTGTAACCAGCACACGGCGTAAGAGAGAGGGCGGCATTAAGTTATCGTATCAGCGCAGATTGAGCATACCGTCGCAACAAGTTAGATAGAGATCAGAAACGAATTCCGTGAAGGGTCTAGGCATCGGCTAATGCCATAATTTGAAGTCAGTGAACAATATGAAAAGGTCATACGAAAACGGACTGCGTATGCTTTGGGCGTTCAAGCGTAGCTTCTGTACTTGGCATGAAGGGATTGCCACTCGCCCCTACTCTTCAATTATAAGACCAATGTTCGAGTACGGCTAATCCGGCTATTTTATGATTATCCGGGATAAGGTGCAAAAAACGGAACAAGGTCAGTTAATCCCCCGTTTAGGGATATTAATGCCGGAGACTAGCGCGGTACATGTTGATGCATCGTCGGTTTCGTGTTCACCTTACAATGAGGTACTGGATACTTTATTCGGGTGCCCCCCCATAATAAGGCTGCTACTCTACATACGCATCAAGCAGTATATGCGGGTACCAGTAGAGACTTCTAGTGCCGGGTCAGAAACGTATAGCTCACCCACTATACTTTAAATGTCAAGTGGTGAAACATTAGAACAGTTTGCCCGAGACAACACTCGAGGCGCCCACTTTGTAGCTTATAAATCCAGAGAGCGCATCGCACCGGAATAAGTCGTTGTACAACTGTACCGTGTTGAAAACACGTGGTAATACAAGAGGTTATTCCGCTTATGCAACTGAGCATATCCCAATGTAACAATACAGATATGTACGTTCGTGCTTCTTATTTTCACTTTCACGTCTGGCAGAGTTCAATTGCACCCAGCCCTATGGACGGACAGAATAAATGGTTGTTCCTACGGCACCGAGATGTCGCAGAGCAATCCCGTTTCAGTATAAAAGGTCACGAAACATATTGCTTGCACTAAACTTTTAACTCCTGGAGTAAAATGAAGCGACACTATAGCGGCGTGAAATTAGATATCATAACCTATTCACACAAACAAACTCACGAAAAAGTAGGCCACAAGAAGTGAGGTTGATGAAGAAAGGTTATGTGTCATCGATAAACGACTGTTCAAATATGCCTTATCGCTGAAGAAGTTTACTAGTTAGGTAGGCCCCAACGAGCTTCCATGCGACAAAACATCGAACACACATGGATGTGATTCAACTTGTCGAACGCGAATTGGGGTTCCGATGAAAGATATTTTACCGATAGATCTAGAAGGTTTGCCCCCGACAACATCCAAATCACCATGATAGATTCCATTGAGGCCTTTGCGGAATAACCGACTGATGTGGATGTAATATACAGTGCAATATTGATGTAAATTGCGAATAGTGAGGAATAGGATGATTCGTTTGGAGGAGAGTGTATTGCACTCAAAACAATATGGTAGTAATTAGAAATAAACACGAAGGTGAAAGGATGCACTGCCCATGTGGGCAAAAGTACACCCTATGCAATGGGAGGCTGAATTCTAGCACGTCATACACATATTCACGTACTCAGCACGACGGATCATAGCAAATGGAGTAGGCATCGAAGTGACACCTTTACTGGCTTCATGGTGAATGAAACAATTCATAGAAAATGCCATACATGTGTAGGAGTGGAATTAATCTGATGCAGTCACTGAGTTGGACTACCTACTGTGGACGTATTGTGATAACAGCCAGAGAAAGCGTGAGCTGCGCCGAGACGAATCGAAGTCAGTTGGATTACCAGACCAGTTTACACAAAGTATGCCATTTTAGCAACAGAGGTGATGGTCGCAAGTTTAGGCTGAATCATGCCCATGATGGAGTACTCACGTTGTGAGATAAACGTATACAGAAGGCAAACCAGCCTAGGGAATAACCCGAATTGATGAATATCACAATCACCGATACAAATATCGCTCATGTGACTAGGTAAACCGGACGAGAAACATGAGAAGAGTTGCCTGAGTCTTGACCTGGATTGACTTACGGTGTTGCGAAAGAGCGGTGACACCGTTACAATGAACTGGAGAGCAAATACGATTAAGCGATGAGCAACATCAATAGAACCGAGTGTGAATGTTAAACTGCCACTCGGCGTAGTGAAGTTCGTACCGAAAAGCGCAAGGAAAAAATAATACTAGACATCAAAAAATGCATGTGTGACGACATTTACCGATCGCTTTCGTCAGCCGCCTTGCTAGCCTCTTCAAGTTTAGCGGTCGCCTCTGTGAGACGGGTTTCGGTAGATTCCAATTCATCCTCCAGCTGTCGAATCCGTTTCTGATACGAAGCGACCTCGGCCTCAGCCTATAACAACCACAAAATGCAAAGAACAAATTGTAAGCAGCTACCAAATTTGACATACATCGATAGCGAAAACAAGAAACTAGAGTAAATAAACATCGTGTGACAAGCGTCGTACAGTGGAAGCAGCGGGGAGCTTCCGCGATTCAATCGTCTGAAAAAAACACTCAATAAAATGTTACTTAGTAAAAAAAATGTTGGCGACATATTTTGATACGTCGATACAATACGAATTTGTAGAAAACATGGGTGCCTGCTTTCAGATGTGTGGTAACAGTATCCGCTTGCCCCTGAGTGTTTGTGTCCGGCAGTACACCTACGACTGGATAGGCTGGTGCATAGGGCATGCGTTTCGCACGAACAAAGTGCAAAGTACTGATGAAGAACTGGACCGACACACCTACGGTTCTAGCTATCACCGAACAGTCACTGGAGGTGGTGGATCGGTTCTCTTACCCTAGTAGCTGTGTCCCCTGTGGTGGTCACACCACTGTGGTAGTGACTTCGTGTGGCTTTCCAGAAAATCAACCATCTATGGATACGGAGGGATATCAGTAGGTGTTACTCAATGGATCACATATCTGGCCAGTTCGCGGCGAAGACATCAAACGCTTGGCCGTGTATGACCACCGGTGCTTGCAGAGTATTGCGCACGTCTAGTAGGAACACCGGGTGAGCAATGCTGAAGTCCACCAGTTGGTTTTTGACAAGAAACCTTCTGGTTCATAACCGAATCTTAATCGGTTACGTTGACTAGACCATGTCCTACGTATGCACGTTGACCGCCTTCCTCAGTGTGCATTATACGCCGTCGCTGCATCAAGTTGGGTGAGACCGTGAGGTCCAAGACGTGGTATACAGAAATCGACTGGGAGACTTGATCAGGCTGGTGCATGCAGTTTTCGTGGATGGATGCCTTGGGATGGTCCACATGAATGGTTGAAAACCGTAGCAAAGGTAGCGTAGTCATCATCATCATCATCATACACGTTAGCTAGAGGTGGGAAACACCACAGCTACTGTGCCGCAATACAAAGAAAAAAGGAGAGAAAAAAAACAACTGGTGAAAGCTGGCTGAGCTACCGGTAACGGATGGGCATCGTTCCGGTAAGCTACCAGCCGGCTGCTGTGCACCCAAAAAAATTATTATGCAAAATTATATAAGACTAAGTAATGAGATCGTGGTTGGAGGGGGGGGGCTAAGAGGGATGGGGTGGGACAAAGAAACTCACAGCACGAACGCCACTGAGGTCGGCTCCTAGCCATATCAGCAAGTGTGTCCAACCAAACGTGTTCACCGTCTTTTGGACCCCAACCAGGGAGCCGAGACGCTCCAACCGAGGCCAGCTTCGAAGTGAGGGTCTTCATTCCTCTGGACCAAGTCATCGCTTGGCCACCTCTCCTCTTCTTCCATCCACACCCCCGGCGCGAAAACAACGCACGTCGCGGAAGTCGGTGGGCTGGCATGCGTAACACGTGGCCGAGCCATCGAAGCCTGATGCGTGGAATAACGGTGCTGAGCGGTTCAGTTCCTTTTCCTGTGCCATAAACAAGGCGTCGAACACGCTCGTTACTCACGCGGTGTTCCCACCAAACGTGAGCTAAATTACGAAGGCACCGGTGGTCGAAAGTAACTAGCCTCTTCAGGTCCGCTGCTTTAAGCGGCCAGGTTTCACAACCGTACAATAGGGTCGAACGTACTGCTACATTGTACACTCTACCCTTCAGGGTGAGAGTGATGTCGCGCCGGCGCCATAAGTGGCGAAGGTTAGCAAAAGCGCCACGAGCTTTTGCTATACGATTCTTGATTTCATCATCAATCCCACAGGCGCTGATACAACTTCCCAGGTAGTTGAATTTTTGAACGACTTCTAGCTGATCCCCACCAAGGGTCAGCGTAGGAGGCGGTCCAGACCAATCTTGGAGAAACGCTTTGCACTTCGAGGGTGCGAAGCAAAGCCCGAAGTAACGGACAGCTAGTGCTAATCTGTCCAGTGCCGCTTGGCACGTTTGTGAGCTGTCACAGATGAGGACAATATCATCAGCATACTCTAAATCAAGAAGTCGTTCTCCTGGGAGTAGCTTCACACCTTCCAAGTCGTGTCCTGTGAACGCGATTTCCATGACTTCGTCAACAGCGAAGTTGAAGAGGAAAGGTGACAGCGGGCATCCTTGTCTCATGCCGCTGGAGATATTAAAGGGCGACGACAACTTGCCGTAAGCCCTCACTCTGCCCGAGCTACGAGCATATAAAGCTCGGATAATATTCACATATTTCCCAGGTACACCTTTCCTAAGTAGACAGTCCCAAAGTGCATGTCTATCCACCGAATCGAATGCACCTTTGATATCGAGGAACACGACAACGGTGAGCCGCCAGTATATGTGACGTTGCTGCAACAACTGACGCAAGGTGAAGATGTGGTCAATGCAGCCACGACCTCGACGAAACCCACCTTGCTCGTTACGAATCTGGCTTTCATGAGTGCCAGTCAGTCTGTGAAGGATTACGGAGGCAAGCAATTTGGAGGCGATGGAGATCAGACTGATTCCTCTATGGCTGCCGCATTCCGATCGTGAACATCCCTTGAAAATTGGGACTATGATGGAGCGGCTCCAATCGGTTGGGACAGTTTCCTGCTCCCACAGTCTCACTAGTAACTCGTGTAAATCATCCACAAGAGCAGGTCCCCCGAATTTGAAAAGGGCTGGAGGAAGGTCATCTGGTCCCGCGGCTTTATTTAACTTCAACAGTTTGATCTCATGTTCGACTTCTGAGCGAGAGGGTGGATCCAAAGGAACAGACCACGGAGCAGGGCGATCACTGGTCGGCGAGAAACCTAACAATTCCGACCGATTAAATTGCCTTTTAAAGTGCTCAGCCCAACATTCCAGGCGTTTTGATAAGTTGTGGATAGGCTGTCCACTCTCGTCACGTATAGTTTCACTAACACCAGGTCTCCTGCTGCCGGTTTCCCGTATCAGACGGAATAACTCACGATGGTTACCAAGGGCAGCGGCCATTTCCATCTCTGTTGCACGACGAGACCACCAGGATTCGCGGTCTCTCTTCAGGCTAGCACGGAGTTTTGCCCGGAGCTCTTTGCGAGTTTCATTGTGTTCGCTTCCAGCCGGAATATGCCGGCGAGCATCTATAAGTTCCAAAGACTGTGAAGAGACCCAATGTTCATGTTGGCGATTAGACATACCACATGAGGATTTGCCTGCTGCTAGTAAGGCCTGTTGCACATGAGACCAGTGAGCTTCAATTGCATCCAATGCGCGTTTATCCAACTCGGATGACAGCGTAATTTGATAGGCGTTCAGAACAGCTGGATTCACCAGTCTGCCGGTGTCAATGCGCTCAAAACATCGTCGCGGGCGATCGCCAAAGCGCATCCGCAGGTCAGCACATACAAGTGCATGATCGGTGTCCACACGTATGCTCCAAATTGAGCGACAGTTCTGGACGCAGCCTCTCCAGCGGTAACTGATAGCAATGTGATCGATTCGCGTCCATAGCTGGTTCGAGGCTGGTGGGCGCCAAGTCACCCTCCGGCGGGTGCTGTGTCGGAAATTAGTGCTCGCAAGAAATAAGCGAACATCCTCACACAAATGAAGTAACCGCTCACCGTTATCATTACGAGAGCCTATACCATGTTGGCCGCCCAGATGCAGCTCATCAGTGGATAATTTTCCAACTTGAGCGTTCAGATCCCCAGCCAGCACTACAGTGTCCGTGCTTCTTCTGTGGCGAAGGAGTTCGTTCAGTTGGCGATAGAAGTCGTCTTTTACCGAGTCATCGCTACAGTTTGTCGGTGCATAGGCAGCGATAACGAATAGACACCTGTTAGTCCCACGCGACTTCGAAGTTTTGAACGAGCCAGCCAATCGGACCGCACACATCCGGCTACTGATTGGAATCCAATCAACCAGAGCAGCCTCAGCCCGGGGACTCAGGGCAATACCAACACCGGCTTGGCCGGTGCTCGAAGCTGCATCGTCACCGGATAGGCGCAATGAGAAAGTGCTGCAAGTGTCACCTGAAGGGGATCGCAGAGTGAGTACAGAGCTCGAGTCTTGCAGGCGGGTCTCCGATAAGCAGCAGATATCGATCGAGAGGGTCTCTAATGTTCGGGCAAGTGCTGCCTGTTGACCAATCTGAAGCAATGTGCGAACATTGAGGCATGCCAGTCTGAAGGAGGATCGAGGGCTCCAAATGGAAGCCGATGAACTAGAATGGGCCGCTTGCTTGGACATGGGCCTGTTGACAGTGCAGGAATGACGCTCTGCGTTCACCTGTGAGTTGAAACTAAAAGACAAGCGACTATTGAAGCAAGGTGGGGGAGGGCCGAGAATTGGGGGGTTGAAAACAGGGGGGATAAGAGTAAAGCTGGAACGGGACGATAAGGGTGAAAAAGCGCAAGAAGGGGAATAAGAAGATGGGAAGGCCTGAGCAGTAGCATCCAAACCCCTATCCACCCTGCTCGATGCAGCAGATAGGGCACCGTTTATTATCCTCTGCAGTGGCCAGAGCATCAGAAATTTGTTTGGGGAAGGATTCATTGTATTGCGTGGGCAGGATACTGTCAGGTTGCCCAGGCCTAGACAGGAGAACGATTAGGGTTCTCAACCAAAGCCTTTGGTTCAAAAACCTGGCCGCAATGCAGCGGGTTTGACATTGGACTACAATGAGTCCGTTTTAAGGAATAAAGAGCCACCCTCATTCCAACCCCCAACCTGGAGGACCAGGAGGCTGAGTTTGTCTGGCCTCTAACCATTGACCAATCTGGTATGAGTGGCTCTGAAGGCGCAAAAGCACCACCCAGTATAGCTCAATGGATCACTGAGGCACACAAACCATCGCACCACGGTAAGGTCCAGCCTCATTGCGATGGGGTAGCGTAGTCACTGACTGCGGTAGCGTAGTCACGCAGTCAGTGGCGTTCCTGTATTCCGTTTTTTGCACCTGGCTGTTAATTTTCGTTCCATTCTGATTAGTC